AGGTGGGGAGGTGGGGGAAGAGAGGACGTGGGGATTGTATGAGGAAGACACAGAGGAGGAAGAGAAGGAAGAGGAGGAGGAAGAGGAGGAGGAGGAGGAGGAGGAGGAGGAGGAGGAGGAGGAGGAGGAGGAGTGGGAGGAAGAGTGGGAGGAGGAAGAGGAGGAGACAGGGGTGGGGGATGGACCATGGCTGGTGTCGCGATCGCAGGCTGCAGCAGCACTATTCCCTCCGAGAAAGCGAGTGAGGCGAGAGGTGAGAGGAGGGATGTGGGTGGTGTCTGGCAGTGGGGCAAGACTGGCAGTGGGGCAAGACTGGCAGTGGGGCAAGACTGGCAGTGGGGCGGGACTGGCAATGCTGTAACTTGCATCTCTTAGGTACCCAAGGTTCCTTCGATCCGAGGAAGCGAGTGACGAGAGATGGGAGAGGGGCGAGGGAGTGGGACGGCAACTGCCGTTTCTCCCTCACTTCTCCTACTCATTTCTTCCTCTCATATCTCCTCTTATCTCCCTCTGATTTCTACCACCATTTTCACGCTCTCATTTCTCCCTCATTTCCTCCTTTTCTCATTCCCCTTTCTCATTCCCCTCTCTCATTCCCCCCTCTCATTCCCCCTCTCATTCTCCCCTCTCATTCCCCCCTCCCATCCCCCCCTCCCATTCCCCCCTCCCATTCACCTCACTCTGAGCTCCACGTCTGCACCCCTCTGCCACTCTGTGCCATGCCGTCAGCTCAGTGCTGCGCTCACATGGGAGGCGGAGCAGGTGAACGAGGAGATGATGGACACGAGGGTGGAGGTCAGCCCGCGGGAGACGAGGAGAGCGCACGCCCTGGGCAAGGATGGCGCTGCAGTGGTGCTGCGCTTCGACATCCCCTCCGTGTGCACACCCATCACCTCATGTCATGTCATGTCATGTCATGTCATGTCACCTCGTGTCGTGTCATCTCATCTCGTCATGTCACCCATCTAGCTATTCTGCGTTGCTGCTGTTCTGTTTGTGAGGCAACTCAAAAGGCGTGGGCAAGGATGGCGTGGCAGTGCTGCTGCACTTTGACATCCCCTCGGTGTGCACATGCACCCATCATCTCATGTCATGCCACCTCATGTAAACTCACCTCATCTCGTCTAATCGAGACGAGTTTTGAGGCTCCTGAAGACTCGTGCACTTTGAAATCCACGGCCCCCCATTTCCTTTTCCTAAACAACTTGTGTGCATTGCTGCTGCTCTGATTTGGGGTGCCTCAACAGCCCTGGGTAAGGATGGCGCTTTCAATGCTGCAGCACTTTGATATTCCCCCCATACGCACACCTCTTAAAAAGGGACAAATTATGAGGCACCTTAGAATTGTTTCACTCTGACATCCCCTCTGGCTGTGCACATGCGTCCGACGTGGGAGCGGCCTGCTCTGTTGTGTGTGTGTGCGCAAGCCATGTGCGCACAAAATATATTTCTCACATTTTGATAGTTTTCCAAGCCGTGCGCTTTAATTTTTTTCGAGGCGTCTCACAACTCACACATAATGACCACGCATGCTTTGCCTTCACAAAAGCCCCATAATGACAACATCAACTCAGCCTTGTTGTCGTTAATGAACGAATTCCGAATTCTTTTCCGGACCACCTCCTTAGTCACCAGCTAATATGCATCGCTCTTCCCCCCGTCTCCATCCCGCTATTCCCTCTGCGGCCCTGCAATGCCTCCACCCCACAGGTGGGCGTTCCCTTCCCTCCCCTCCGCCTGCTCGTCCCCGGCTCCTACCCGCACTGCTCGCCCCAGCCATGGCCCTTCCAAGCCCACCCACACGCCAGGTGCTCTGCCATCCTTGCCTGCTGCTCTGCTCTGCTCTGCCAGTGCCATGCTCATGTCTCTTGTTCTTTGCTACACCAACCCATGTTCTCCCTCCGCCTCCATACAGTGCCTAGTGGTTCCCAGTGGTTTCAAGTAGTCCCCAGTGTTTCCCAGGTGTCTCCATTCCGTTTGAACATTGATCAACACACTTCATGCCCACCCCTTGTCTTAACACCATCCGAACCTCGCCCATCCTCCATCACTCTAATCCCACTTCCAACCTTCTCCCCGCCTCGCCCCTTCCCCCTTCCCTGTCACTCGCCAAGAGGATTAGTAAGGTCAGGATGCTGTTTCCCTTGGAGCTGTGTGTTGGACCATTCCGTGGGGGGGAAGTCATCTGTTCCTTGCTGTGCCCCCTAAAGCGGACAACCACGGCCACAGTATTGAACAAGCACATAACCTCATTCTTTTTACTCACGTTTTTCTCATTCTTCCCATTATTCCCATTCCTCCCATCCTTCCCATCTTCCTGCCCACCACAGATCACCCGTGGTTCAAGGCGTCTCTGCTCTACCCGAGCCATGCGAGCTGCCAAGGGCTCTCTCAAGTTCACACCCATAGCACAGACGTGAGATGAGCGCTTATACATTCCCCACTCCCGTTGTTCCCATCCCTCCTCCTGCCCACCACAGATCCGCCGTGGTTCAAGACGCCATGGGCCGGTTTACCAGGGCCATGCGCGCTGCCAAGGGCCCTCTCACGCTCACAGCCATGGTGAGGGCGTGGAACAAGCATGCACGGGCGGCAGTCATGCAAGTGCTTGCGGCATCTGCTCCCCCGAATGTGTGCTGGCATGCTGTGGTTGGCCCGTGGCACGAGTGTGCTGCTGACGTCGCACATGGCTAGACGATTCACATGTGCCTGATTTGTGGATTTTTTCTGTTGGGTGTTCATTCTACGGTATATGATGTTGCTGAGGAAGAATATTGCTCGAAGGAATTAGATGTGTATTTTACTTCCCATGTTGATTCGTTGCAAAAAGCTTTGAGATTTGTTGTGGGAGAATGGTACCGTTTGTAGAGCGACAAAAAAACTCACAACGTGTGTGACATCAATAGATGCATGGCAGTACAAGAAGCATGAGATGTTCTTTCATTTTGCGCCAACAGAAGAGAGTCTGGGCACTGTTACCTCTCGGAACCTTTTCAAAGGTTCATACGCGCTAGAACTGTAAAACACGGGCGATTGCGGGATCGCTTCCGCAATCTGCCCGCGGGCACGAAAAAAAAAAAAAAAAAAAACTAAAACCCACTCGGAAGGCATGCGGTTCGGGAGGCATCAACCCAAAAAATTCAGGGTTGAGGCTCCCGAAGGGCATGCAGGTCGCGATGGGAAATAGTTTTTTTGCCCCGGGCAGCTTGCTTCCGCCAGCTCGTGCGTCCTGATGGGTTCGATGTTAGAATGGACTAAGCTACTAACGGAAGCTTTAGTAGTCTTAGAACCTCCTCCTAAAGCCTATGAATCTTAGGAGCCCACCTGGGCATGAACCATGCTAGAACCAAAGTGGTTTCCAAGAAGTAAAGTTCCAACAAGAGAGAACCCTAACCTATAGGGTTTGGGAGGTAGTCTACTCTATAGAGTGTACACCACAAGCTCTCCCAACCCAACCAATGTATTCTACACTACAATAGTGTAGATGTATCACTACATATGTTTATTGGAGCAACCCGAATCAACCTTAATTCCAACACCCCCCTTTGCTCCAACAAGCATTACAGTTCACCCATAAATCAAAACACAACCCCTCCAGCGAATGAAGTCTTGGCCTTCGCAGCCATCACTCGCATGCCGATGCGCTCCAAGTTCTCATGCAGTTGCAAGCTTAGAAGAGCTTCGGTGGGCATGTCGGCATCCTGGAGGTGGGAGCGTACTGAGTGCACCTCGACCTCGTGCTGGCGCACCGCATCCCGTACAAAGTGCCATGCCACCTTAATGTGCTTGGTGCGCTGATGGAGAAAGGGATTGTGGGCAAGGGAGACATCAGCCTCATTATCAAAGACTAATGGAATAGCCCCCCCATCCCCCACATGCATCTCTGCCAACAAACTCCTCAACCAAATGGCCTCCTTGGCCCCCTCCGATAGAGCTTTGTACTCAGCTTCAGAAACGCTTGCTGCAACACTGTCTTGCTTTTTGTTATACAATCTGATTGATCCTCCTCCCAACTTAAAGATGTAGGCAGAGCGACTTTTGCCATCATTCTCACCACCCCAATCCGAGTCTGTGTACCCAACAACCTGCTCACCACCTTGGCGCTCATACCTTATGACACGATCAGCTGTGTCGACCAAGTACCTGAGTGCTCTCAGTGCAGCGCGCATGTGAATGCGTCTTGGTGCCACGCAGGACTGTGCAAGGGTGTTGACAGTGAAAGACATGTCAGGACGGGTGGTCATCGCAGCATACATCAAGCTGCCAATGAGACTCTGGTACACCTTGACATCAGCTGCAACACCTTCCTCAGTCGACCAAGTACCATTCCTGATCTAAGAGAGATCATTGGGTGACATTGGAGTTGAGAAAAACTAGAACGAGAATGAATGCACTATGAAATAGTTGGGTACAAGTACTAACCCTAATTGGGTTGTACCCCATATGGGCTACCCCACTACAGCCTACACAAAAGCATAAGCTATAATGTTCTGACACACCCCCATAGGCAAAGTGGGGGAGTACAAGGGGTCACAAGACCAGTCAAGCAAAGCAAAGCAAAGCAAGCTCAGGGTGGATCACAAAGTCACCACACAATCCGAGCACAAGGTCAAGGCCACAAGGCCAGTTCACATGCAGAAGTACATATATATATAAAAGGCTAGACAAGCAAGAGCAGGTGTATATATATATATGTAACAGTACAAGCAAGGTCAAGAGGTGAGCAAGTGAGGCAAGGCAGGCACAAGACCCAGCTGAGTACAGAAGCGCTGATGATCACAAGGCGCAAGCGCCTTGGTGAAGATATCAGCAGTGTTGGCCTCAGAGGCCACGTACGCAAGACGCTGCTGACCACGCTGCTGCAGCTCACGAGCAACTGGAGCCGAGAACAGAAGACGAGCGGGTAGCCCGCCACGAAACAGAGCCGGAACCAAGGCTGAAGTTGAAACCCTGTGACGACCGCTGCGTAGCCTGGTCGTCAGCCCAAGAAGCGTCTGCGTGCCCAGTGAGGACCACTGGACTCTGCCCTCCAAGCACAAGCCCCATGCCCGACGTACTGCACAAGTAGCGCAACACCCTCTTCGCTGCAGCCATATGCTCCAGTCTGTGTCTCCCAGGAGCAACATAGCGTGCGAGAATGCTAAGAGGGTATGCAAGGTCAGGTCGAGTGCAGGTCATCAGGTATATGAGGCAGCCAACAAGCTCTGGGTACGGGCCACTCGACTCTACGGACTCATCCGAAGGCAGAGCTGAGAGCGAGTGGCGAGTAGGCAGAGGAGTGGACTGAGGCGAGGAGTACGTGAAGCCGAAGCGCTGAAGGACCTGCTGCACCATGTGTGACTGAGTCAGGGTAATGGTGCGGCGTGCTCTGTCCCGGGTGATCTCCAAGCCAAGGTAGCTGCGCACTTCACCCAGGTCTGTGCACGTGTGTCTCTTCTGCAGCTCGGACTTCACGTGGGCGAGTCCAGCAGTGTCAGCTGTGGCAAAGACCAAGTCGTCGACGTACACGAGGATGTAGAACGGCGGCAAAGAGGTGTCGGTGCGCAGAAACAGCGACGGGTCGGCAGTAGAGGGAGCAAACCCAAGAGCCGCAAGTGTAGTCCTCAGTGTGTCGTGCCACTCACGCGGTGCCTGGCGGAGACCGTAGACTGGCCGCTGGAGGCTCCACTGGGTGCCAGGAGGAAAAGACCCAGTGAAGCCAGGTGGGCGGCGCAGCCAGATCTCCTCGTGCAGGCTGCCCTGCAGGAAAGCTGTGCTGAAGTCAAGAGAGTGAAGCTCGTAGTCACGGTGAGTAGCTATGTGCAGCAGTACCCGGAGAGTGGTCATCTTCGGGGTGGGAGAGAAGGTCCGAAAGTAGTCAACTCCCTGCCGCTGACTGAAGCCACGAGCCACGTAACGCGCCTTGAAGACAGGCGGAGAACCCAGCGGTCGCTTCACCCTGAAAATCCACATGCCACTCACGATGTTCGCCCCAGGCGGGGGAACCTCCTCAACGTAGGTGCCTGTGGACTTCCAGGAAGCCATCTCTGCATCCATAGCTGCCTGCCACTTAGAGGAGTAGGGACCCTCTACGACCTCCGCGTAAGAGCGCGGAGTCGGGATGTCAAGTGCATCCGGGTCTCCCTCAGGGGTAAGCAGTACGGACACGAGATGAGGTGAAGCAGCAGCCAGACACTGGAACTCCTCCTGCCTGTCCTCAAGGACGTCCGTGCCAAGAGCACACTCACCCCCGACGGACGGAGGACAGACAGACTCAGACTCAGCAACAAGACTAGCAGCGTAGTCTAGACGACAGCGAGCAGCAAAGTCGACGAGCTCAGCAACTAGGGCACACGCAGCAGAGGACTCAAAGGAAGGGTCAGTGACGACAGTAGCAAGGAGACGCGTGAGCGTAGGACTCGCAGCAAGAAGAGAGTCCGACTCCGGGTCGGCAAGAGCAGGGAGAGAGGACTCAGGAGGAGCAGGCAAAGGGGCACGCAGAGGAGCAGTGGACGGACGGAGAGACACCCGGTGCGTGCCAGGAATAGGAGGAGGGCGCTGACGCGAACCACGACCACTAGGGCGAGCAGCACGGACAGGCGACGTAGGGCGAGACGCAGGCTCACGACGCTCAGCAAGACCTCTAGTAGGACCAATGTAGGGAGAAGGAGCAGGCAGTGGGGAGGACGGCTGTAAGTGTAACTGTGACGGGACAGGTTGTGGACACTCTAAGGGAGGAGGAGGACCAGTAGAAGGCGGGAGACCAAGAACCTGCTGAAGGAGCGGAACGAAGTACGGCCGAGGCCGCGCGGCGACTCCAGACACAGCAGGGACAGCACCAGCACCCCCTGCAGCAGCACCAGCGCCAGGAGCACCTCCAGCTCCAGTACCTCCAGCAGTACCAGTAGTACCCCCAGCAGGACCGCCTCCAGGACCGACAACAGTAGCCTCAGTGCCAACACCCTCAGCAGCTCCAGCTCGAGTCGTACCCGCAGGCCCAGCAGCTCCAGTACTCCCAGCACGAGCACCTCCGGGACCCGCGGCACCAGCACCCTCAGCAGCCGGAGAACCTCCAGCTCCAGCAGCATGCCTCCAGTGCCGGGCAATCCACTCACGCAGCTCCTGTGGAGAGAGGGGCTCCCTTCGAGACGAAGCACCCGGAGAACCTCCAGGTCCAGCACCGCCAGACGCCACACGAGTAGGCCCAACTCCCTCAGGCTCCGCACCTCCAGGCTCAGCACCTCCAGGCGTAGCACCCCCAGGCTCAACACCCCCAGGCTCAGAATCCCCACTCGCAGCACCCCCAGGCTCAGCACCCCCAGGCTCAGCACCCCCAGTCGCAGCACCCCCAGACCCAGCACCCCCAGTAGTAGCACCCGCAGGCTCAGCACCCCCAGGCGCAGCACCCACACGCTCAGCACCCCCAGAGTCATCACCCCCAGGCTCAGCACCCTCAGCAGCACCAGAGTCGCAAGTAACCTTGACAGGCTCGACTGCGTCTACCTGGGATACACCTGAAGGGGCAGGACCCTGAGGGGGGAGGGGGTCTACCGGGGGGGGACCTGGTACAAGGAAGAGCGGTGGCGGGGGGAGGGACGTAGTGCGGTAGGGGAAGAGACGGTAGTAGGGGACCGACTCGTCAAACGTGACGTCCTGGGAGGACAGAACACGGCGCGAGGTGGGGTGGTAGAACTGCCACCCTGGCGCGTCAGGGG